GACAAGCAAATTCAAGGAGGGAGTGGAGAGGTTTGTTCCCAAGGAAAATAGAAATATTGGGAAGACCAGAGCGAGCCCTTGGTTCACCCAAAGGTGTAGGAAGGCAAAAACTAAGTGTGCTAGAGAATGGAAAAAGTACAGAAGTCAAAGGACCCGAAAATTAAAGATATTAGTTGAAGAGCCAGAAATAAGTATGGACAGATAAGGAGGGAGGCCCAGCAGCAATACGAAAATGACATAGTGTCGAAAGTCAAGTCTGACCTGAAGCTGTTGTATACCTACATCAGGAGGAAAACAGCAGTCAGCTTGAGGAAGGATGGTGGGGCGTTCACAAGAAATTATCAAGAAGTATGCTAGAAGCTCAACATGAGATTTAAAGAAGTATATACAGTGGAGACAGGAAGGATTCCAGGAAGTCAAAACAGGGGAGTACACCAACAAGTGCTGGATGAAACACGCACAACCAAGGAGGAGGTGACGAGGCTGTTACATAAACTTGATGCCTTAAAGTCGGTGGGACCGCTAAACGTCTATACATGGGTCCTTAGAAAGGGAACAGAGATGCTGTGTGTGCCACTAACAACACTCTTCAACATCCACTGAAACTGGGCAACTACCTCAGGTATGTAAGGCAGCAAATATAGTCCCAATTTTTAAGACAGGAGACATACTCGAGGCATTAAACTACAGCCCAGTGTCACTGACGTGTAAAGTATGCAAAGTCATGGAAATTCTCAGCAGGAGAGGGGTGGAACACCAAGAAAGAAACAAGCTTATGAATGACAACCAGCACTGTTTCAGGAAAGGGAAATCCTGTGTCACAAACCTACTGTAGTTTTATGCCTAGGTAGCAGAAGTAAGAAATAAGAGAGAGGTGCATAGAATGCATTTCCTTGGAGTGCGAGAAGGCCTTTGACACAGTCCCTCACAAGAGATTAGTGAAAAAGCTAGAGGAACAGGTACACATAGGAAGAAAGGCAATGCAATGGATCAGAGAATACTTTGAAGGGTGGCAACAACGAGTCGTGGTACGCAGCAAGGTGTCAGAGTGGGCGCATGTGACGAGCGGGGTTCCACAAGGGCCAGTCCTAGGACCAGTGCTGTTTTTGGTACATGTGTATTTTGGTACATGTGAATTTTGGTATATGTGAATTTTGGTATATGTGAATGACATGAACAGGACTCAGAAGTGTCCCTGTTTGCAGATGATGTGAAGTTAATGAGGAGAATTAAATCGGATGAGGATCAGGCAGGACAACAAAGAGACCTGGACAGGGTGCAAGCCTGGTCCAGCAATTGGCTCCTCGATTTTAACCCCGCCAAATGCAAAGTCATGAAAATAGGGAAAGGGCAAAGATTACCGCAGAGTATTGGCTAGGTGGCTAAAGACTGCAAAGGAAAAGGATCTTGGGGGTGAGTATAATAATGAGCACATCTCCTGAGGTGCACATCAACCAGATAACTGGGCCAGTATATGGGCGCTTGGCAAACCTAAGAATAGCGTTCAGATACCTGTGTACGTCAGACACTATGTACGTCAGGCAATATTGGAGTATGTAGCGCCAGATTGGAATCTACACCTGGTCAAGTACGCCAAGAAATTAGAGAAAGTGCAAAGGTTTGCAACAATACTGGTCCCAGAGCTACGGGTAATGTCCCACGAAGAAAGATTAAAGGAAATCGGCCTCACGACACGGGCGGACAGGAGGGTTAAGAGAGACATGATAGTGACATAAAATACTGCGAGGAACTGACAAGGTGGACAGAGACAGGATGTTCCTGAGATGGGACACAGAAACAATGGGTCACAATTGGAAGTTGAAGACTCAGAAGAGTCAAAGGGATGTTAGGAAGTATTTCTTCAGTCATAGAGTTGTCTGGAAGTGGAATAGTCTGGAAAGTGACGTTTTGGAGGCTGGATTCATACATATCTTTAATAAGAGGTATGATAAAGCTTATGGAGCAGGGAGAGAGAGGACCTAGCAGCGACCAGTGAAGAGGCGAGGGAGGAGCTTTGAGTCAACCCCTGCAACCACAGTAGGTAAGTACAAATAGGTGAGTACACACATACACACACACACACACACACACACACACACACACACACACACACACACACACACACACACACACACACACACTCACACACACACACACACACACACACACACACACACAGAGTAGTCAGTAAGTGGAATAGTTTGGGAAGCGATGTAGTGGAGGCAGGATCCATACATAGCTTTAAGCAGAGGTACGATAAAGCTCACGGCTCAGGGAGAGTGACCTAGTAGCGATCAGTGAAGAGGCGGGGCCAGGAGCTCGGACTCGACCCCCGCAACCTCAACTAGGTGAGTACAACTAGGTGAGGTGAGTACACACACACACACGTCAGGGGAGACATGATAACGACATATAAAATACTGCGTGGAATAGACAAGGTGGACAAAGACAGGATGTTCCAGGGAGGGGACACAGAAACAAGAGGCCACAATTGGAAGTTGAAGACACAAATGAGTCAGAGAGATAGTAGGAAGTATTTCTTCAGTCATAGAGTTGTAAGGCAGTGGAATAGCCTAGAAAATGACGTAGTGGGGGCAGGAACCATACACAGTTTTAAGACGACACTGGAGGACAGGAGAGATAGGGGGGACATGATAACGACATACAAAATACTGAGAGGAATTGACAAGTTGGACAAAGACAGGATGTTCCAGAGATGGGACACAGCAACAAGGGGACACAGTTGGAAGTTGAAGACACAGAAGAATCACAGGGATGTTAGGAAGCATTTCTTCAGCTACAGAGTAGTCAGGAAGTGTAATAGTTTGGGAAGCGATGTAGTGGAGGCAGGATCCATACATAGCTTTAAGCAGAGGTATGATAAAGCTCACGGTTCAGGGAGAGTGACCTAGTGGCGACCAGTGAAGAGGCGGGACCAGGAGCTTGGACTCGACCCCTGGAATCTTAACTAGGTGAGTACACACACACGCACACACACAAACACACACACACACACACACACACAGACACACACACACACACACACACACACACACACACACACACACACACACACACACACACACGCAGTCGCAGAGCCAGAAATGAATATGCACAGATAAGAAAGGAGGCCCAACGACAATATGAAAACGACATAGCAGCGAGAGCCAAATCTGACCCGAAGCTGTTATACAGCCACATCAGGAGGAAAACAACAGTCAAGGACCAGGTAATCAGGAAGGAAGAAGGAGAGACAATAAGTAATGACCGTGAAGTATATGAGGAACTCAACAAGAGATTCAAAGAAGTGTTCACAGAGGAGACAGAAGGGGCTCCAGGAAGACGAAGAGGTGGGGTACACCACCAAGTGCTGGACACAGTACACACAACCGAGGAAGAAGTCAAGAGGCTTCTGAGTGAGCTAGATACCTAAAAGGCAATGGGGCCGGATAACATCTCTCCATTTGTCCTAAGAGGAGCAGAGGCGCTATGTGTACCCATAACAATATTCAATACATCTATCGAAACAGGGAGATTGCCTGAGGCATGGAAGACAGCAAATGTAGTCCCAATCTTTTAAAAAGGAGACAGACCAGTGTCACTGACATGTATAGTATGCAGAGTCATGGAGAAGATTATCAGAAGAGTGGTGGAACACCTAGAAAAGAATGATCTCATCAACAGCAGCCAACATGGTTTTAGGGACGGGAAATCCTGTCACAAATCTACTGGAATTCTATGACATGGTGACAGCAGTAAGACAAGAGAGAGAAAGGGGAGTGGGTGGATTGCATTTTCTTGGACTGCAAGAAAGCGTTTGACACAGTTCCACACAAGAGATTAGTGCAAAAACTGGAGGACCAAGCAGGGATAACAGGGAAGGCACTACAATGGATCAGGGAATACTTGCCAGGAAGACAGCAGCGAGTCATGGTACGTGGCGAGGTGTCAGAGCGGGCGCCTGTGACCAGCAGGGTCCCACAGGGGTCAGTCCTAGGGCCAGTGCTGTTTCTGGTATTTGTGAACGACATGACGGAAGGAATAGACTCCGAAGTGTCCCTGTTTACAGATGACGTGAAGTTGATGAGAAGAAGACCAGGCAGAACTACAAAGGGATCTGGACAGGCTGCAGACCTGGTCCAACAATTGGCTTCTGGAGTTCAACCCCACCAAGTGCAAAGTCATGAAGATTGGGGAAGGGCAAAGAAGACCGCAAACGGAGACTACAAACCTCACTCAAGGAAAAAGATCTTGGGGTGAGTATAACACCAGGCACATCTCCTGAAGCGCACATCAACCAAATAACTGCTGCAGCATATGGGCACCTAGCAAATCTAAGAGCAGCATTCTGCCATCTTAATAAGGAATCGTTCAGGACCCTGTAAACTGTGTACGTTAGGCCCATATTGGAGTATGCGGCACCAGTTTGGAACCCACATCTAGCCGAGAACGTAAAAAAATTAGAGAAAGTGCAAAGGTTTGCAACAAGACTAGTCCCAGAGCTAACGGGTATGTCCTTCGAGGAGAAGTTAAGGGAAATCGACATGACGACACTGGAGGGCCAGAGAGATAAGGGGGATATGATAACAACATATAAAATACTGAGAAGAATTGACATGGTGGACAGAGACAGAATGTTCCAGAGATGGGACAGAGCAACAAGGGGACAAAGTTGGAAGTTGAAGACACAGATGAATCACAGGGATGTTAGGAAGTATTTCTTCAGTCACAGAGTAGTCAGGAAGTGGAATAGTTTGGGAAGAGATGTAGTGGAGGCAGGAACCATTCATAGTTTTAAGCAGAGGTATGATAAAACTCACGGTTCAAGGAGAGTGACCCAGGAGCGGCCAGTGAAGAGGCGGGGCCAGGAGTTATGAATCGACCCCTGCAACCACAACTGAGTACACACACACACACACACACACACACACACACACACACACACACATGCGTTCTCTCCTTCCTTAGACAGATGCATTTGAGGATGGTCAAGTACTCACGGCAGCACTTCATGAAGGCGTTGTATGGAAGGTATTCATTCAGCGTGTTGCAGAGTTCTGTTTTAATAGTCTTGTTGAACAATTCACATTGTGAATTGTATGCACTTGTGTTGACCAGATGCATGAACCCCTGCAGACAGAGAGACGTGGTTGGTGTTTAATGCTATGCATATAAGTGGCTTTGGCATGCTGCTCTTACCTGTATTTTTTTGTACCTCTGTATGCTAAAATTACTAAATTACTAAATTACTAAAGTTTCCCAAGCAGGGTTGAAACCTCAAGTATTCATCACATGGCATGTTTAATCACTACAGACGTGGAAAAGGTGTTCTTAGACCATCACATGAGCCATCATAAAATGCGGTGCCAGGAACTATGTATCTACATAATAATATTAATTATTGTAATGATTATAATATAGTTTTTTTTTTTTTTTTTTTTACACAGGGTTTGACAAGGTTAAGGATCCCTAGCTTTATTGACAAGCTATTTACAGGTTAAGGATTCCTAACTTTATTGGCAAGCTAAGAGCTGTTACCTACATCAGCTCATTTGAAAGCTTTTTTATTGTTATGAGACATCCAAGTAGGGAACAGGATGAAGTTGGAGCCATCTGTGGGCCAGCATTTTCATTTGATCAACTGACTTTATCTCGTTGACATCATTATGCTATACGAATGTGTTCCATACTCGAGTCATCCTGGGTATGTATGATCTCAGATGGAGTGATGTTCCGGAGAAGGGTACAGCCAGAGCGAAGTTGCTGCTTTCTGCCCGTCTTGTGGCATAAAAGCTTGTTTCACGCTGTCCTCGAAGTGGATCCATGTGTGGTACTTTGACAATATTGGCCTTGTACATAACAGTAAGGCCGCCCACATCCCACCTGTGTTGAAGGCTCTGCTGAAATGACAGATCTATCCAGGATGGGTCCAGGTGAGAGGTGAGACGTCTTGCTCTGTTCTCTACTTTTTTAAGCAGTCGCAGATGAGAGGGGGGGGGGAGGCAAACCAAGAAAGTGGAGCATACTCAAGGTGTGAGCGTACTTGTGCCTCGTACAGAATCTTGCAACCCCTACTGTCAAGCAGATGCGAGATACGGCGAAGTGCTGTAAGCTTCCTGGCTGCCTTGTTTGCAAGATTTACAATATGGTTCTTCATGGTTAGTTTGGAGTCAAATTTCACCCCAAGGATATCAACTTCTTCTGCAGGTGCCAACACCCTCCGATTCATCCTTACTACTGCACCAGCATTACCATCACGGTGCCTAGAGATCATCATCATTTGCGTTTTCTCACGTGCAAATGTTACTTGCCATCTATTTCCCCAAGCTTATATAGCTCTTAGCTGGTGATTGATGTAGCTTAGAGCAGCTGGCATTTCTTCTCTTGGATAAGTGAATGTCAGTGTACAGTCGTCTGCATATGCATGGGATTCTGGGATGAGATGAAGAAGGTCGTTGAAGTAGACATTCCATAACAATGGTCCCAGCACGCTTCCTTGTGGAACACTTGCCCCAATAGGATATCTTGCTGATTCCATTCCATTGAGAACTACCCTTAGAGATCTACCATGAAGGTAATCACTGAGGAGACATAGCGTAGAGCCTGCAATTCCCAGTGCTTGAAGTTTTGCTAAGAGGCCCTGGTGCCACACCCGGTCGAAAGCACCAGCAATGTGCAGTGTTACCACACAACTAACTTTGGATTCATCCAGTGACTGGTGCCACTTAGTGGAGAGGTTTAACAACAGATCAGCAGCAGAGTAACTTTTCCTGAAGCCATTTTGACGATCACAAAGTACTGAGTGGTAGTCAATAAGCTCTGTCATTTGTCTTGGGATTATTGTCTCAAGGATCTTACCAGTGATTGACAGGAGTGACACTGGTCTGTAGTTGCTGATTTCTGCTCTGCTCTTCTTTTTGTGAACTGGGACTATATTTGCCTCTTTCCACAGAGAGGGCCATTTACACTCTACTAGGCAGTGCTGAAAGATACGAGTTAGAGGTGCTGCTAGCTGGTCTGCACATCTTCTCAGCAGTCTTGGGCTCAACTTGTCTGGGCCCACAGCCTTTTCTTGGTCAAGCGATTTAAGAAGGAAATGCACCTCCTCCTGCCTTATTGTCACCATTGACAGTTTTGACACAGTTCTTGCAGCTAGCCAAGGAGGGTCCCTTGCTGGATCAGGAACTTGCATTTTGGTAGCAAAGTGTTCGGCAAAGAGGTCCGCCTTCTCTTGACTGCTAGTAGAGGTGGTCCCATCCTGTCGATTTAGAGGTGGAATGAGTTCATCAGGCAGATAACCTTGTCTGTCCTTGACCAGGGACCACCAGGTTTTGGGGCCTACCCTACCTGATGCTAGCTTTCTTTTAGTGTCCACCTCCCATTTAGCAATGACCCACTTTTGAACGTCACCCATATGCCTACAGGCTTGCCTGTGCAAGTTCCTGTTATAGGTGGTAGGATGTCTCTTATTCCTTCGCCATGCTTTGTACTTGGCAGTAGCAGCCTCTCTACAACGAAAGCCAAACCAAGGCTGATCTGTAGACTTCGTCACACATTGCCGGTGAGGAACATGAGGTGTTTAATTCTTGCAAGAGAGGACAAATATCAGGCGTTTAATACCTGCAGGTGATTTGCAGATGCGTAGAATTTTTAAAACTATCATTCCTTCATATTTCTTTAAAAGTTTATTCTTCAGATCCAAGTTCATATGTATGTAGTATATACACATCGGTGAGTAAATGTACTACATGAACCCACGTATCTGAACCCGTGTAAGTAAATGTACTACACGAACCAACGCATCTGAACCCGTGTACTATCTGGGCCTCTGTAAGTAGTAGTTGCATATTCTAACTCCCATTGTTTACATCTGATCTTGAAATGCGTGTCATCATAATCCCTGTAAGTGTACCTCTAAGCCTTTGTAAATGTTTGATTGTTCATATCAATCTGAACATGTGCAGATATGAACCTTGTAAGCGTGTGAGCGTACATCTGATTTCCTGAAGGTATTGTAGGTGTAGGACTCTGGTGGTCAGCTGGCTAAAGCTCTCGCTTCACACAGATCTGGGTTCGATTCCCAGCCAGGGTAGAAACGTTGGGTGTGTTTCTTTACACATGTTGTCTATGTTCACCCATCAGTAAAATGGATACCTGGGTGCTAGTAGACTGGTGTGGGTCGCATCCTGGGACACTAACCTAATTTGCCCGAAATGCTGAGCATAATAGATTAGTTGAAGTGAGAGCGGTGACACAGACTTTCTTGCGTACATAGATAAAATAATAGACAGGAATATACACAGAAAATAATGCGTAACATTTATTAAAACCAAAGAAACTTTTTAACTTAAAATGCTACTTTATATCGTCTTATAACAACCATAGTTTTTTCGACCTTCTCATTTTAAAATGAGTAAAAGATACGTTAATTAACATGAAATTTGATTGATAAAGCCTATAACAAAATCATGAATGCTGTAGAAAATGTAATGGTTTAGAAAGACACGTAAGCAAACACTATAACATATTTATTAGAAAACGTTTCGGTCCTGGGACCTTGATCACTTCTAACATACAGAGGTAGAAAGACCTGATATATATATATAGGCGGAGAGTGAGATGTGACGCACGTGACCTATATATATATAAGGTCTTTCTACCTATGTATGTTAGAAGTAACCAAGGTCCCAGGACCGAAACGTTTTCTAATAAATATGTTATAGTGTTTGCTTACGTGTCTTTCTAAACCAACTTGTCGGTATTTATTACCAAGATTTATACCAGAAAATGTAATAACAACAGTTGAGATAAAATGATTAAATCTACTTCTTGTTCTGTGCTCATCAAGTACAAGCCTATGACAATATTATATATATATATATATATATATATATATATATATATATATATATATATATATATATACATACATATGGAGACCCATTCGCTGACACGTCCAAGGAAGTAAATGTTTTCCCCTGCAGGCTGGAAGGTGACAGTGGGGAGGGTGGTCATGGTGACTCACTGTTGTGGGTATGTGTAATAAGCAGTGATTTAATTTTAATTAACTAGAATCGGTGTACTAGGATGTTATTTTGTAATTTGTTAAATGTGTTAAAGGCAGGATTTGTGTCGTATATATTGTTATGTAGAATATATGTACATTTTTTCTAAAGATGAGTTTATGTTCGTCCTGATGATAAAAGGTGAAGTATTGACGACCCGTTTAACATTTTGTGTAGTTGTTTACGAAGTATGAGTGGGTCTGGGGTGGCTTATTTTTAAATGATTTTATATTTACCCCTAAATATGTATCTTAACCTCCTACGTCCTCCTTAACATCGTAACAGCGTCACAGTACACTGAGGTCAGTGGTCATAGCGTGCCTAAGCTCTTGGGAGTTAGCGTGGAGTGTTACCGAGCACCATGGATTGTTGTAGTGTTCTAGAATCTCAGGGTCAAGTGTTGAAGAAGGAGGTTCTACTCCTTCAGGAGGAAAACAGGAGGCGGAAGCTTCGCACAGATGGGTTTGGGAGTGAGTGTGAGATGGATTTAGCTGGTAAGGAGGAAATGGTCACCAGCAGTGAGAGTGGCAGCCGGTTGAAATGGCAAGTGGTTCACAGTTCAGGAAGAAGGACGATAAAGAGGGTTAAGAGAGAAGATGTGAAGGTAGGAAATCGATTCTCTGTTCTCCAGGACGAGTGTACTTCAATGGTTAGTGAGGTTGAAGATACCACTGATTCCTCTGCTAATCAAGGTAAGAATAGTCTAATTGTAGGAGATTCTCAGGTAAGATATATGGACCATACTTTTTGTAACAGAGATAGAAAGGTCAGACAGAGAGTGTGACTCCCAGGAGCTGGTGTTGGTAACATAGCAGGTTGGATAATATTATGTTAGGTAATGGGAACAAGCCCATTATCTGTCTTAGTGCTGGGGACAATGGCATTGGGAAGGGCAGGAGACAGGAGCTGCTGGATAAGTACAGGTCAGTCATAGAAGTAGTCAGGTCTAAGGGAGGGATCCCAGTCACATGTAGCATCTTGCCTAGAAAGGGAGTGGGTAATGAGTGGATGTCTAGGGCAATTGGTATAAATCGCTGGCTAGACAGGTACTGCAAGGAACTTGCAATTCCATTCATTGATAACTGGGACCTATTCTTTGGCAAACGTGATATGTATGCATGGGATTGGGTTCATCTCTCTGGGGCTGGAGTGATTGCATTAGCCAGTTCGATTGAGAGGGTAATTGATGACTTGCCTAGGACATTAAACTGATAGATTATAGAGGTATGGGTGTTTGTTGGAAACAATCAGACTGCAGCATTAGGGTTAAAAACAGCAGTTATTACCGGGATACCTCAGGGATATGTTTAAAAGACAATATTAAAAATAAAGTTGCTAGTAAAGGCAAATCAATTGATCACCAAACAAAGAGAGATAGTAGAGGGCAACGAGTGACTAGCTCCCTTAAGGTTTACTCTACAAATAGTAGGAGTCTAAGAAATAAGATAGATGAGCTAAGATTACTTGCAAGTGTAGGTAATATAGATATTATTGGTATAACAGAGACCTTGTTCAACCTGAAAGACAGAGAAATGCCTTCTGAATGTAACATACAGGGTTATAAACTATTCCATACTAATAGGGTCAACAGGAAGGGTGGTGGAGTGGCGATGTATGTCAGAGAAAATTTAAATTGTTGTCTTAGACATGATATAAGATTAGAAACATTGGACACAAAATCTGTTTAGCTACAGTTTCTCGAGGGACGTGATAAATTAATTTTGGGTGTGATTTATAGGCCCCCAAACCTTCATAGGGAGCGCAGTAAGCTGTTATGGGATGAAATTCATAAGGCATCTTGATATGAAAATGTTGTGTTAATGGGAGATTTTAATTTTAGACAAATTGATTGGAACAATATGACAGGAAATCTTGAGTCTAGTGACTTTCTTGATATGGTTCAGGATTGTTTTTCAGAACAGTTTGTGACAGGACCAACTAGAGGAAACAATCTGCTTGATTTGGTTCTTGCCAACAAAGAATCACTAATTAATAATCTTGAGGTTAATGATTAGCTTGAGGAAAGTGATCACAAATCACTTAGTTTCAATATATCATGGAATTATATCATGGGACTGAGAAATTACCTGGGTGGGCTAAATTGGGAGGACCTGACTATGGGTCAGGGAGGTGATCTTGGTTGCTAAAATGGCTTTTTTTCAGAGCATAGTTCTAGCTGCCCAGACAAGTTTTGTTCTGAGTAGGGAAATCAGATCTAACAAAAATGATCCAAAATGGATGAACAATACATTAAAACATCTCATTGGTAAAAAGAGAGGCATATATAGGCGTATCAAAAGAGCTGATGGGCAGTTAAGAAATCAATATATTCAATTAAAGAGTGAAATAAAAAAAGGAATAAGAAAAGCAAAAAGGGATAATAAGGCTAAGTCGCAAGGGATTCAAAGACTAACCCAAAAGGGTTCTGTCAGGTATACAGAAGTAAGATTAGGGACAAGATTGACCCACTTAAGAGTAACTCTGGTCAGATCACTGACAGTGATAAGGATATGTGTGAAATTTTCAATACTTACAATTTTTACCCAGGAAAATACTAGCGAAATTCCTGAAATAATAGATTATGTAGAACTGGACGATGATAAACTATGCACGATTGCGGTAACTAGTGACATGGTCCTCAGACAAATAGAAAAATTAAAACCTAACAAATCCCCAGGCCTGATGAACTGTTTACAAGGTGTTAAAGGAATGTAAAGAGGAACTTTAGCAAACCTTTAGCTAATATTTTTAACATATCACTACAAACTGGCATAGTGCCTGATAAGTGGAAAATGGCAAATGTAATACCTATTTACAAGGCAGGTGACAGGTCCTTGCTTCGAACTATGACCAATAAGCCTTACCTCCATAGTGGAAAAATTTTTGGAATCAATAATTGCCGAAGCAATTCGTAACCATCTTGATAGGCATAAATTGTTTAATTATTCTCAACACGGTTTTACAAAGGGGCGTTCTGTCTTACGAATTTGCTAACTTTTCTCACTAAGGTGTTTGAGGAGGTAGATCATGGTAACGAATATGATATTGCATATATGGACTTCAGTAAGGCTTTCGATAGAGTTCCACATCAGAGGCTATTGAGGAAACTTAAGACACATGGAATGGGAGGAGAATTTTTTTCCTGGGTAGAGGCATGGCTGACAAATAGGCAGCAGAGAGTTTGCATAAATTGGGAGAAATCAGAATGGGGGCACATCACAAGCGGTGTTCTGCTGGGTCCTTTGTTGTTCACAATTTACATAAATGACATAGATGAGGGAATAAATAGCGACATAAGCAAATTTGCTGATGACACCAAAATAGGCCTGCCAGTTCATTCTAATGAGGACACTAGAGCACTCCAGGATGATTTGAAAAGACTGATGCAATGGTCGGAGAAGTGGCAGATGCAGTTTAATATAGACAAATGCAAAGTCCTAAATGTTGGACAGGAAAATAACCATGCTACATATAAACTGAATAATGTAGATCTTAATACTACTGGTTGCGAAAAGTATTTAGAAGTTCTGGTTAACAGTAATCTAAAACCAAGACAGCAGTGCATTAGTGTTCACAATAAAGCTAACAGAATCCTTGGCTTCATATCTAGAAGTATAAATAATAGAAGTTCTCAGGTTGTTCTTCAACTGTATATATCCTTGGTTAGGCCTCATTTAGATTATACTGCACAGTTCTGGTCAACGTATTGCAGAATGGATATAAATGCTCTGGAAAACGTACAGAGGAGGATGACAAAGATGATCCCATGTATCAGAAATCTTCCCTATGAGGATAGACTGAGGGACCTGAATCTGCACTCTCTAGAAAGGCGTAGAATTAGGGAAGATATGATCGAGTGTATAAATGGAAAACAGAAATAAATAAAGGGGATGTAAACAGAGTGCCGAAAATTTCCAGCCAAGACAGGACACGCAGCAATGGTTTCAAGTTGGAAAAATTCAGATTCAGGAAGGATATAGGAAAGCACTGGTTTGGTAATAGAGTTGTGGATGAGTGGAGCAAACTCCCGAGTACAGCTATAGAAGCTAAGACGTTGTGTAGCTTTAAAATAGGTTAGATAAATACATGAGTGGGTGTGGGTAGGTGTGAATTGGACATGGCTAGCTTGTGTTACTAGGTCTGATACCGTGCTCCTTCCTTATTAAGTGGAACTGACCTGACTAGGTGGGTCTTTGGGCTAATCCGGGGGGGGGGGATGGACCTGCTTCGCATGGGTAAGTAGGCCTGTTGCAGTGTTCCTTCTTTCTTATGTTCTTATTTTCTTAATTTAAGGGACAGGGGCCAGGAGCCGTCAATCAAGCCCTCTAATCGCTTCTAATCATAAATAACTGTACACTAACCGTTGAAGCTGAGTAAGTCGGATAGAGAAGTGATCCACTTGGCCGTCACTTACAATGAGGAGCTAGTTGGCAGACGATCAAGGCACACCGCTGTGGTGATGATCTACTGTGAAGAGAGACCCAATGTTTACACGCTGCTGATCATGTTATCCTAAAGAAAACTAACAGATGTCCCAGTTTACAGGGAAGAGGAGGGGAAAACAGGCTTGGATTTTTTTTCAATGTGCAATTTTGCAGTATTTTCCGAGAATTACTATGGCAAGCAATAGTGTTGAAGAACTGTGACAAGAATAAGGTAAGTGTCAGTGCAATTAGGGCTACAGGTAGACCAAGAACAGCCTGCCTAGGCAGTGGCCGAGTCACAATTAATGGAGGGAGAAGGAAGCCACCACGAATTCTTACGCTAAATAGCCCCTCGGGTTCACCGCATTATTAATTGTCACAGTGCAACAAGCGGAGATGTTAACGATTAACACCTGCATAAAAATAAGCTAACAGACTCATATTGAGTTATCAGATTACCGTCAGAGAAAAAATGATTATTCAATAATTTCTCTCTCATAATATATTAGGACGCTGATCAGGAACAGTCGGGATATTACTTACCAGCAATAATGTTGACGAGAGCGAGAACAGCGAAGCCGGAAGCAGATGTCTGGAAAGGTAAGCTGAACAAATACGCCAGAGGGATGCTGCCCCACCCGTACAGCAATAACAACAAGAACAAAGCACCTAGAAGTATTAATTTGTAAATAGTCGGATATATAAATAAAATATTTCACAACAGCTTATGCTATGATAAATTAGACACATGTGCAACTCTTGGGTATCTTTATTGAGGAAACGTTTCGCCACACAGTGGCTTCATCAGTCCATACGTAGGAGAATCTTGAAGAACAGGAGGAGAATGAGGTAATCAGTCCCTCAACTTTGAGTCGATGTGTTCAGTCCATATGCAACAGTTAGGTATCTTTATTTTGAAACGTTTCGCCTACACAGTAGGCTTCTTCAGTCGAGTACAGAAAAGTTGATAGAAGCAGAAGATACTTGGAGACGATGTAATCAGTCCATCACCCTTAAAGTTTTGAGGTGGTCAGTCCCTCAGTCTGGAGAAGAGCATTGTTCCGTTGTCTGAAACAATATGAAGTTGAAGTGACAGAATCGGGCCTTATATAGTGCCAGGAGGTGAGACGTAGGTTGATTTGGGAGGGCAGGTCCTTCTCAAACCCAGCCGTTCTCACTAGTAGAGTTTGTCGAAGTAGATGGTCTGTACCAAGATACCCTTGTGTTGCAGTGTCTGACAGAATGAACATTAAAATGGTATAAAATACCGACAGATTGTTAGGTAAGACACATATGTGTCTTACCTAACAATCTGTCGGTATTTTATACCATTTTAATGTTCATTCTGTCAGACACTGCAACACAAGGGTATCTTGGTACAGACCATCTACTTCGACAAACTCTACTAGTGAGAACGGCTGGGTTTGAGAAGGACCTGCCCTCCCAAATCAACCTACGTCTCACCTCCTGGCACTATATAAGGCCCGATTCTGTCACTTCAACTTCATATTGTTTCAGACAACGGAACAATGCTCTTCTCCAGACTGAGGGACTGACCACCTCAAAACTTTAAGGGTGATGGACTGATTACATCGTCTCCAAGTATCTTCTGCTTCTATCAACTTTTCTGTACTCGACTGAAGAAGCCTACTGTGTAGGCGAAACGTTTCAAAATAAAGATACCTAACTGTTGCATATGGACTGAACACATCGACTCAAAGTTGAGGGACTGATTACCTCATTCTCCTCCTGTTCTTCAAGATTCTCCTACGTATGGACTGATGAAGCCACTGTGTGGCGAAACGTTTCCTCAATAAAGATACCCAAGAGTTGCACATGTGTCTAACTTATCAACATGTCGGTTCTCTGAACCATTCATCTACAAATTTTATGCTATAAAAGCTTTACAATTTTAGTAATATATCGTAGATGCATAAATTATCATGGTCAGTAGTTTTAATAATATTCAGAGTAAATTTCGTTTTAATGTATAAATATTATTGCTTAAGTGTTTAATATGTCATATTAAGTGGAAATCGGCTACATATAATACTTAAAAGTAATTTTAGCTAAATTATTTTTGGATGAACAATATAAACATTGAAGTAATTTAAATACCAGAATATCTGAATCTATATCTTGAATAGAAAGTAATTATTACATCAAAAAATATTTTAAATATTCTTCATGACAGTTTATGTTCAAAATTTTAGCCTAGAATATTTTCACTACGTAAAAACTAACTTTTTGCGTAAAAGATGAATGATCCTAAAGTTTGATATCATAACTGATATTGATCCAAGGAGGTGGCTAGATAATCTAGTGAGAGACACTCTTAATACTGAGAGGTTTGAGATATCTAAGATGGCTGCCGAGGTGCTTGCCCATTGTCCATAAATGCGAGATTTTTCAGATGAATATTCAGTATAGTCAGATTTATTGCCACTAACGTGTGTTTATGTAAATAAGTCACCTTTTATACTTTCATGCTGATAAGTATGCTGGTAGGATGATGCTGGCAGGTATGATGGTAGGATGATGCTGGTAGGTATGCTGGTATGATGATGCTGTAGTAGCTGTATGATCTGTAGGTATGGTAGGATGATGCTGGCAGGTATGATGGTAGGATGATGCTGGTAGGTATGCTGGTATGATGATGCTGGTAGGTATGCTGTGTATGGTAGTATGCTGGTAGGTATGCTGGCAGTATGATGGTAGTAGCTGGTAGGTATGCTGGTAGGATGATGCTGGTAGGTATGCTGGTATGATGATGCTGGTAGGTATGCTGGTATGATGATGCTGGTAGGTATGCTGGTATGATGATGCTGGTAGGTATGCTGGTATGATGATGCTGGTAGGTATGCTGGTAGGATGATGCTGGTAGGTATGCTGGTATGATGATGCTGGTAGGTATGCTGGTATGATGATGCTGGTAGGTATGCTGGTAGGATGATGCTGGTAGGTATGCTGGTATGATGATGCTGGTAGGTATGCTGGTAGGATGATGCTGGTAGGTATGCTGGTATGATGATGCTGGTAGGTATGCTGGTAGGATGATGCTGGTAGGTATGATGGTATGATGATCTGGTAGGTATGCTGGTAGATGATGCTGGTAGGTATGCTGGTAGATGATGCTGGTAGGTATGCTGGTATGATGATGCTGGTAGGTATGCTGGTATGATGATGCTGGTAGGTATGCTGGTAGGATGATGCTGGTAGGTATGCTGGTAGATGATGCTGGTAGGTATGCTGGTAGGATGATGCTGGTAGGTATGCTGGTAGGATGATGCTGGTAGGTATGCTGGTAGGATGATGCTGGTAGGTATGCTGGTATGATGATGCTGGTAGGTATGCTGGTAGGATGATGCTGATAGGTATGCTGGTAGGATGATGCTGGTAGGTATGCTGGTAGGATGATGCTGATAGGTATGCTGGTAGGATGATGCTGGTAGGTATGGTGGTATGATGATGCTGGTAGGTATGCTGGTAGGATGATGCTGATAGGTATGCTGGTAGGATGATGCTGATAGGTAGGGCTGGTAGGATGATGCTGGTAGGTATGCTGGTAGGATGATGCTGATAGGTATGCTGGTAGGATGATGCTGGTAGGTATGCTGGTATGATGATGCTGGTAGGTATGCTGGTAGGATGATGCTGGCAGGTATGATGGTAGGATGATGCTGGTAGGTATGCTGGTAGGATGATGCTGGTAGGTATACTGGTAGGATGATGCTGGTAGGTATACTGGTAGGATGATGCTGGTAGGTATGCTGGTAGGATGATGCTGATAGGTATGCTGGTAGGATGATGCCATATAAAGTGCCTATCCAAAGATGGCTGCCATCTTCACCATAAAGTAATGGTTACAAGTACTGATGCATATTCTCCTCGCCAGCGTCATTTATATTAAATTCAAGTTCAAATTCAAATTCAAAGTTTATTCTCTATAAAGATTACAATGTTGAATTTACAGAATTTGGTTGTTGTGTGGTTTACATGTAGTTAAATAATGAGTACAGAGTGTACCACTAGAACGCCTAGCATGGCGAGGCATTTCGGGCAGACTTAGTTTAATTCTTTATTTTAAAATATTACAAATTATGAGGTAAGTTGGTATTATGGCTAAGTGACTAAATACTAATTTGTGAGTTTAGGAACTAGACAACATTTATATTTTCAGAAAGCCTGAATTTACGATGAAAAAGACACGTATCAGAGATAATATTCATTACAACATTTCACTTACACGAGGCAATATATAAAATATAAAAAAAAAGACGCCTTTTTTGGTACACTTGTCGGCTTGGTTGTCAACATTCAAATCTCATACACTGAGTGTCCGTGGTGCGATTCCCAACACGGGTGGAAATACTTAGCATGTTTCCTGACACATGCTGTCCTGGGGACAATATTGAAGGATCATAATGGAAATAAGACAGACAGTCCTCGATGACGCACTGAAAATGGTAAATGGATACCTAAAAGCAGGAGACAGGTCGCTCGCTTCGAATAATAACCAATTAGCCTAACCTTCACTGCGGGAAAATTGAAGGAATCAGTAATTGCCGAGACTTTTCGAGGCTACCTTTAAAGACAAAAATTGATCATTGTATCTCAACATGGTTTTTACGAAAGAGGGTTCTTGACTTTCGGATTTACTAACTTTTATCTCTGAGGTATTTGAGGAAGTAGATTATGATAATGAATATGAAATTGTGTATACTGGCTTTAGTAAGATCTTTGATGAAGTTCCACATCGGAGATTACTGAGGAAGGTAGAGGCTCACGAAATAAGAGGGGATTTTTTTTTTTTGTGGATGCAAGTGTAGTTGACAGTTAGGCAACAGAGTTTGTATAAGTGGGGAGAACTCAGAGTGAGGACGAGTGACAAGCAGTGTTCTACAGGGATCAGTATTGGGCCCTTTGTTGTTCACAATATACAAAAATGGCAAGGATGAAGGAATAAATAGCGAAATAAGCAAGTTTGCCGATGGTACTAAAATAGATCGTCGGATTAATTCTGACGAGAACACTCGAGCGCTACAGGAAGTCATGGTTAGCCTGAAGAAGTAGTCGAAGAAGTGGTAGATGTAGTGTTATGTAGACAAGTGTAAAATTCTAAGTCTGGGAAAAGAGAATTATCATGGCACTTATGGGTGTGGGTGAATGTGAGTTAGACTTGCCTAGCTTGAACCAAGAGGACTGCTGCAGTGATATTTCTTTCTTAAGTTCTTATGTTGTCCCGCCTCATTGATAATATACAGAAGTGAAAAGGTAGCCAACTGAAATTTTCATTTAAAAATTCATCCACTCATGATTAGAACAAAAAAATTATTTGACATGAACCTGAGAAACCTAAATTGTGATATTTAATTAAAATATAATGAACTTATGCTGATATACAGTTTGTATTTTATATATTCACAGGTAGTCGGTGATCGCCTTGGCAGCCATCTTGGATTTTTCAAATTCTTGAATGGTTACACTGACGCCTAAAACACTCAAAAATCTTTCGAGAATAATTATGCTTAACAAAATTCCAGGTTCAACATAAACACCGAGTTTGACAAGGAGTCCCAGAAGAATTATTTTCCTGATGTGGAATAACTGATAGCAGAATCGTATATACACGAGAAGGGAATATCTTACGTGTAAATCCACTAAGAATTTACTTGGATTCCTGATTTACAGATGAAAGTATTGTTGACTGATGGTATTCAGATGAAATGCAACGTTAATTAGTGTTTCGGTAGCTGTCTGACCAAGAGAGGGATCCTCCAGCCATATTACCTCCAACCTCTTTAATATTCTTTAAGGTTTTAATTCATTTAAAGATATGTAAAGTTTGATATGAATGTGTCAGTCTCCTTGAATGATGTTGGGCCACTGCCATATTCTAAAGGAATTTCTACGAATATTGGATTAACATTAAAAAAGAATAAATAAATTTAAATTTTAAAGATTTCAGTGTTTCAATGTAATTTGATTACCAGTTTCAGGAGATTAAGAATAGAATCAGATTTTTTTCTATAGTAAAGTTCTCTTTTTTTGAAACCGGGTTTATTTTTTTCCAGTCAAGTATGGTGCTAATAATCTGTCTTGGACTGAGCTTTGCTGTTATTTTATTCTATCAGTTTTAGATGGGATTCAAATCAGGACTGTTACCTATCCATTGCATAACACTGGTATTGTTGTTGACATGTTCCGACATGAGGCGACGAGCACAAGTATTGCCATAAATCTTGTGGAATGAGAGGAGCATACGGCGAGCACACGGGGGGTGTTAATGGCAACAACCTTGCATGACACCTGGTGAGCACACGGGGGGTGTTAATGGCAACAACCTTGCATGACACCTGGTGAGCACACGGGGGGTGTTAATGCCAACAACCTTGCATGACACCTGGTGAGCACACGGGGGGTGTTAATGGCAACAACCTTGCATGACACCTGGTGAGCACACGGGGGGTGTTAATGCCAACAACCTTGCATGACACCTGGTGAGCACACGGGGGGTGTTAATGGCAACAACCTTGCATGACACCTGGTGAGCACACGAAAGGGGGGGGGGGTAATTGCAACAACCCTGGGAGAACTAACAACCACTTAGTAGATAACATAGGGCTTTTATTGAGAGTAGCTCCAAGTTTTTGGATCAAGAAACTTCCACCGCCCTTCCTTGAAGCAATTTGGTAATAGTATACTTGTATATAGTTTTGAGTTTAAACTAGACAGATGTTGATGTGGTGCCGGAGAATAACAATTTCAACCTTCCTTTGAGAATTGACCAGCGTTGAAAACTTGAATTATTATTATAATGGGGAGCGTTAAACCCGTAGGGATTATAAAGCGCCTGTGTGGGAGATGGATGGAAGGCATTTAGGCTCAATTCAGGGAACTGAAGAACAGATCCACTCCCCTGGATCAAAAGCCTCTCACCGGCTTCAAGACACCTCCCTTGAAGCCTTATAACGAAGCCAGTCCAAAGCTATTGAACGAAATCCAATTTATCAATTTCATTAATATAATGGGGAAGTGGAAAAGAATCTTTCCTCCGTAAGCCATGCGTGTCGTATGAGGCGACTAAAATGCCGGGAGCAATGGGCTAGTAACCCCTTCTCCTGTAGACATTTACTAAAAAAGAGAAGAAGAAAAACTTTATGAAACTGGGATGCTTAAATGTGCGTGGATGTAGTGCGGATGACAAGAAACAGATGATTGCTGATGTTATGAATGAAAAGAAGTTGGATGTCCTGGCCCTAAGCGAAACAAAGCTGAAGGGGGTAGGAGAGTTTCAGTGGGGGGAAATAAATGGGATCAAATCTGGAGTATCTGAGAGAGTTAAAGCAAAGGAAGGGGTAGCAGTAATGTTTTAAAAGATCAGTTATGGAAGGAAAAAAGAGAATATGAATGTGTAAATTCAAGAATTATATGGATTAAAGTAAAGGTTGGATGTGAGAAGTGGGTCATAATAAGCGTGTATGCACCTGGAGAAGAGAGGAATGCAGAGGAGAGAGAGAGATTTTGGGAGATGTTAAGTGAATGTATAGGACCCTTTGAACCAAGTGAGAGAGTAATTGTGGTAGGGGACCTGAATGCTAAAGTAGGAGAAACTTTTAGAGAGGGGTTGGTAGGTAAGTTTGGGTGCCAGTGTAAATGATAATGGGAGCCCTTTGATTGAACTTTGTATAGAAAGGGGTTTAGTTGAAGGTAATACATATTTAAGAAAAAGAGGATAAATAAGTATACAGATATGATGTAGGGCGAAATGACAGTAGTTTGTTGGATTATGTATAGGTAGATAAAAGACTGTTGAGTAGACTTCAGGATGTACATGTTTATCGAGGGGCCACAGATATATCAGATCACTTTCTAGTTGTAGCTACAATGAGAGTAAAGGTAGATGGGATACAAGGAGAATAGAAGCATCAGGGAAGAGAGAGGTGAAGGTTTATAAACTAAAAGAGGAGGCAGTTAGGGTAAGATATAAACAGCTATTGGAGGATAGATGGGCTAATGAGAGCATAGGCAATGGGGTCGAAGAGGTATGGGGTAGGTTTAAAAATGTAGTGTTAGAGTGTTCAGCAGAAGTTTGTGGTTACAGGAAAGTGGGTGCAGGCGGGAAGAGGAGCGATTGGTGGAATGATGATGTAAAAGAGAGTAGTAAGGGAGAAAAAGTTAGCATATGAGAAGTTTTTACAAAGTAGAAGTGATGCAAGGAGGGAAGAGTATATGGAAAAAAGAGAGAGGTTAAGAGAGTGGTGAAGCAATGTAAAAGAGAGCAAATGAGAGAGTGGGTGAGATGCTATCAACAAATTTTTTGAAAATAAGAAAAAGTTTTGGAGTGAGATTAACAAGTTAAGAAAGCCTAGAGAACAAATGGATTTGTCAGTTAAAAATAGGAGAGGAGAGTTATTAAATGGAGAGTTAGAGTATTGGGAAGATGGAGGGAATATTTTGAGGAATTTGTTAAATGTTAATGAAGATAGGAAGCTGTGATTTCGTGTATAGGGCAAGGAGGAATAACATCTTGTAGGAGTGAGGAAGAGCAGTTGTGAGTGTGGGGGGAAGTTCGTGAGGCAGTAGGTAAAATGAAAGGGGGTAAGGCAGCCGGATTGATGGGATAAAGATAGAAATGTTAAAAGCAGTGGGGATATAGTTTTGGAGTGGTTGGTGCAATTATTTAATAAATGTATAGAAGAGGGTAAGGTACCTAGGGATTGGCAGAGAGCATGCATAGTTCCTTTGTATAAAAGGCAAAGGGGATAAAAGAGAGTGCAAAAATTATAGGGGGTAAGTCTGTTGAGTATACCTGGTAAAGTGTATGGTAGAGTTATAATTGAAAGAATTAAGAGTAAGACGGAGAATAGGATAGCAGATGAACAAGGAGGCTTTAGGAAAGGTAGGGGTGTGTGGACCAGTGTTTACAGTGAAACATGTAAGTGAACAGTATTTAGATAAGGCTAAAGAGGTTTTTGTGGCATTTATGGATTTGGAAAAGGCGTATGACAGGGTGGATAGGGGGGCAATGTGGCAGATGTTGCAAGTGTATGGTGTAGGAGGTAGGTTACTGAAAGCAGTGAAGAGTTTTTACGAGGATAGTGAGGCTCAAGTTAGAGTATGTAGGAAAGAGGGAAATTTTTTCCCAGTTAAAAGTAGGCCTTAGACAAGGATGTGTGATGTCACCGTGGTTGTTTAATATATTTTATAGATGGGGTTGTAAGAGAAGTAAATGCGAGGGTCTTGGCAAGAGGCGTGGAGTTAAAAGATAAAGAATCACACACAAAGTGGGAGTTGTCACAGCTGCTCTTTGCTGATGACACTGTGCTCTTGGGAGATTCTGAAGAGAAGTTGCAGAGATTGGTGGATGAATTTGGTAGGTGTGCAAAAGAAGAAAATTAAAGGTGAATACAGGAAAGAGTAAGGTTATGAGGCTAACAAAAAGATTAGGTGATGAAAGATTGGATATCAGATTGGAGGGAGAGAGTATGGAGGAGGTGAACGTATTCAGATATTTGGGAGTGGACGTGTCAGCGGATGGGTCTATGAAAGATGAGGTGAATCATAGAATTTATGAAGGAAAAAGAGTGAGTGGTGCACTTAGGAGTCTGTGGAGACAAAGAACTTTGTCCTTGGAGGCAAAGAAGGGAATGTATGAGAGTATAGTTTTACCAACGCTCTTATATGGGTGTGAAGCATGGGTGATGAATGTTGCAGCGAGGAGAAGGCTGGAGGCAGTGGAGATGTCATGTCTGAGGGCAATGTGTGGTGTGAATATAATGCAGAGAATTCGTAGTTTGGAAGTTAGGAGGAGGTGCGGGATTACCAAAACTGTTGTCCAGAGGGCTGAGGAAGGGTTGTTGAGGTGGTTCGGACATGTAGAGAGAATGGAGCGAAACAGAATGACGTCAAGAGTGTATCAGTCTGTAGTGGAAGGAAGGCGGGTAGGGTCGGCCTAGGAAAGGTTGGAGGGAGGGGGTAAAGGAGGTTTTGTGTGCGAGGGGCTTGGACTTCCAGCAGGCATGCGTGAGCGTGTTTGATAGGAGTGAATGGAGACAAATGGTTTTTAATACTTGACGTGCTGTTGGAGTGTGAGCAAAGTAACATTTATGAAGGGATTCAGGGAAACCGGCAGGCCGGACTTAAGTCCTGGAGATGGGAAGTACAGTGCCTGCACTCTGAAGGAGGGGTGTTAATGTTGCAGTTTAAAAACTGTAGTGTAAAGCACCCTTCTGGCAAGACAGTGATGGAGTGAGTGATGGTGAAATTTTTTCTTTTTCGGGCCACCCTGCCTTGGTGGGAATCGGCCAGTGTGATAATAAAAAAAATATTAAATAAAATTAGAAAACTGGCACCTAAACAACACAATAATATTCGAGCCATCTTTTCGTAAGATATTCCAGTGTTAAATGTTTGCTGCCAATCAGAAGAAGCATCTTTAAGTTATTGTATGAAAACCTTGGAAAGATTTTCACACATCCCTTATCGGAGGATAACTAGTGACTCGTTTAGTCGATCAATTTTAACCCAATAAACTAACCTGCAAAAACACCAGAAAATATACTCATCTTCCTCGTCTTATCGACAATTACCTGGAGCTTCCCCGAGGGTGAAGTACTTCTTGGAGTCCCAGATCATAAATATTATGAAGACAATAATTGCGGAGACGAGGTAGGTGATGTAGTCCCAGAGGAAGGTAGTGGTCCAGAGCAACCACACTGGAGTTCCAGTCATTACCTGCACCTAGGGATACCAGGGCACAAAAATGGGATATTTTATTCGGTACACAAATGTGGTATATTCATGGTTACTCGAATGACATTTTCTCATGTTTATACAAGTAGCAATGGGCATAAGTTCCTTCAGAAATGAATATCTAAAATAGGGCAGGAATGTTCGCCAGGAAACAAAAATGTGTCTCCTTCTGCAGGAAATTGCTAGTTTGGCAACAGTGGAACAATCTGCGAGGTTTAGTCAGTGTAGCGGACACCTTGGATTGCTTTAATAGTAACTTGGATAAGCATGTATATAAATAATATGTAATGTGCAGGTTAAGGCTTCTTGTTTAATAAGATATTTTGTCTACCAGGGACAGGTGATCTCATGTCCGTAGTGAAGTGATCTGTATTGTGTAAGGACATCCCTAGTGAGCTCTCCATTCTTGGATGACAGACTGTGTTGACTTCCCTCAACTTCAACTATAAATATATTGAACAACCATGGTGACATCACACACCCTTGTCTAAGACTCCTCTACTTTTACTGGTAAATAGTCTCCCTCTCTCCTACATAACTTGAGCCTCACTATCCTCGTAAAAGCTCTTCACTGCTTTCAGTAACCTACCTCCTACTCTATACATCTGCAACATCTACCACATTTCCCCCATATCCACTGTGTCATATGCTTTTTCCAAATCCATAAAAGCCACAAAAACTTCTTTACCCTTTTCTATATACTGTTCACCTATATGTTTCATTGTCAACGCTTGGTCTACACACCCCCTACCATTCCTGAAGCCTCCTTGTTCATCTGCTATCCTACTCTCCGTCTTACTCTTAATTCTTTCAGCAATAACTCTACCATACACTTTACCAAGTATACTCAACAGACTTATTCGCCTATAATTATTGCACTCTCTTTTATCCCCTTTGCCTTTATACAAAGGAACTATGCATGCTCTCTGTCAATCCCTAGGTACCTTACTCTCTTCCATACATTTATCAAATAAAAGCACCAACCACTCCACCTGCTTTCACCATTTCTATCTTTATGCTATCAATCCCGCTGCCTTACTCCCTTTCATTCTACTCACTGCCTCATGAACTTTCCCCACACTCACAACTGGCACCTCCATACTCCTACAAGATGTTATTCCTCCTTGCCCTATACCCGAAATCAGAGCTTCCCTATCTTCATCAACATTTAACAATTACTCAAAATATTACCCCCATCTTCCTGATACCTCGATCTCTCCATTTAATAACTCTCCATTAGTTCCCTAGACTTCCTCAATTTATAAATCTCACTCCAAAAATTTTTCTCATTTTCAAAAAAATTTGTTGATAACATCTCACCCACTCTCTCATTTGTTCTTTTTTTAACATTGCTTTAACACTCTCTTAACCTCTCTTTTTCTCTCTCCATATACTCTTTCCTCCTTGTATCACTTCTACTTTGTAAAAACCTCTCATATGCTAACTTTTTCTCCCTTCTACTTTCTTTACATCATCATTCCACCAATCGCTCCTCTTCCCTCCCGCACCCACTTTCCTGTAACCACAAACTTCTGCTGAACACTCTAACACTACTTTCTTAAACCTACCCCATACATCTTCGACCCCATTGCCTATACTCTCACCAGCCCATCTATCCTCCAATAGTTGTTTATATCTTACCCTAACTGCCTCCTCTTTTAGTTCATAAACCTTCACCTCTCTCTTACTTGCTGCTTCCGTTTTTCTTGTATCCCATCTACCTTTTACTCTCACTGTAGCTACAACTAAAAAGTGATCTGATATATCTGTGGCCCTTCTTTAAACATGTACATCCCGAAGTCTACTCAACAGTCTTTTATCTACCAATACATAGTCCAACAAACTGCTGTCACTTCGCCCTACATCATATCTTGTATGCTTATTTATCCTCTTTTTTTTTAAATATGTGATACCTGTAACCAAACTCCTTTCTATACAAGGTTCAATCAAAATCTCCCCATTATCATTTACACCTGGTACCCCAAACTTACCTACTACACCCTTTCAAAATGTTTCTCCTACTTTAGCATTTAGGTCCCCTACCACAATTACTCTCTCACTTGATTCAAAAGTTCCTAAATACTCGTTTAACATCTAAAATCTCTCTCTTTCCTCTACACTCCTCTCTTCTCCAGCTGCATACATGCTTATTATGACCCACTGTTTGCATCCGACCCTTATTTTAATCTACATAATCCTTGAATTTATACATTTATATTCCCTCTTCTCCTTCCATAAATGATGAAAATAACGCAGAATTAGATTTTTTTTAACTTATCAGTAAAGAGTGAGAACCAAAAAACAAAGATTGCCACATATGAGAAAATTCTGAAACGTTGAAACCTGAAAGCTGAATGAGATTTTCGCCTTATAATCGGTGATACACACGTAACAACATGTACCGTATATGCCACCTTTATATCAACAATGTATCTCTTAAATCTTCTGTACCAAAAATATATAATAAAATATTCCTATTGGTAAAGAAAAAAAATATGAAAGGATGGGGTGATAGGGGAAGTGGAATATTCAAACGGCTTCAGGAAGAAATCCAAATATTCTTCCTTGAAGCCTTTTTATCCACTTCTCCGAGGCTATGGGTCCCACAATTTGCACCAGAGGTGGACCCCATCCTATATTAAATATATATATATATATATATATATATATATATATTATATATATATATATATATATATATATATATATATGTATATATATATGCATATATATATATATATATATATATATATATATATATATATATATATATATATATATATATATATATGTATATATATATGCATATATATATATATATATATATATATATATATATGTATATATATATGCATATATATATATATATATATATATATATATATATATATATTATATATATATATATATATATCCTGCCACATTGTATATCCAACTGTCTTGTTAATTGAAACTGCCCTATCACATGTTTTGGTATTCAATTTTCATTGTATATCTTGTCTTTTTATATCCTTCTCATCATATATCCTGTCTTGTTATATCTTTTTATCAGGAATCCTCTCTTCTTACATGATCTTCAGATATCCTGTTTTTTAATACCCTTCCTGTGAAATATTCTGCCTTACACCCTCTCCTTCACACATTTTGTCATGTTATTCACTCGCTATCATTTATCCTATTTTAATATCCTCCTTATCATATATCTTGTCTTGCTATGCACTGCCCATTACATATAATTTCAATTTATACCCTCCCTGTCTTATTATACCCTCTCACATGTAATGTACCATCCTGCTATGCTTTTCTCTAACCCTTATTTTATCTTATTACATTCTCCCTTTCATGTATCCTCCTCCATCTAATACTATCTTGTTAAACCATCCCCATCCCATATCCGATTATATTTTATCCTCCAACATCTTTTATCTATACGTATTTTTATACCCTTCGCATATCTATGTGGCAACTATAAATTCAGTCCTAGTTAGCTTACTACATCAATTTGAAATCATACAACGGGTTGGGGCTTGAACCCGGGGTTAGTGAGCTTAAAATCGTGTTATTTTGGGTTTTGTGAGTCATGATGGCGGCTTTGAGAGGACTTGAGTTTGAGCATGTCAAAGCCACGGTGGTTTAGGATTCATTTGTAAAAACATTCATTTATGGTCACGGTGATGGCCTTTGCTAACTTCCCTATGATGTATAGAAATATATCTAGTTGGATGAATCTTATTGCAGCCAGCTGGTCGAGTGGTTAACGCACTGGCTTGTGAGTTGTAGGACTCACCATGGGTTCAAGCCTTATGCATCCCGTGATTTGATTGCATTCGTATTACTGCGATTTCGTGAATCAGGAATGTAATTGAATGCCTCTTTAGAAGGTCATAGTAGAGTTGCTGCAACCGGTTACCTGTTTGGCCTTGGTCTCTCTCTCCTGGAGAGGAAAGACGATGAAGGAAGCGGAGAGTAAGGCCAAGGCGAGAGGCATCACCATGGAGTATACCAGAGCGCTCGCTGACGTGTTGTCGTCCTTTATCTGCCACTATGTTATTCAAATTTATAAAAAAATATTATTATTATTGCTATTATTATTATTATTATTATTATAAATTAATAATATAATTGCTTTTATTAGTTTATTTTAAATAAGTGCATGATAGAAAAGAAATTGGCTCACCGTTCTGTTGGGCGGCAATGGTCGATTGGAGGTGGTGATAGAGTGTTCCGTTGAGTTGGTGGCAGCTCTGAGAAGAGCGTTGGTGACCAAGGAGGTGCTTACTCCTGGTGTGTGGTAGGGGATAGATTGGTACAACATGCGCAGCCCCGTGACTTCGTTCTCAGTAAGGAACTCTGCCTGTAGGTGGTAGTAAAAGACCTTGAGTGCTTTATGGTTGAGTGCGAGAGAGGTAGTAACGTTGAACTCCTTTTAGCTTAGATTTACATTTATTTATTGTCACGCGTTCTGGATGCTGAGTCAGCCACAGAATCAATAATACACAGGTCAATAAAGGTTTTATTTAACATTTAAAAATCGTGAGTCTCGAACTAATTTTGGGACTCTGAATATCGTACTTAAAACATTTTGTTCACACAACATTTAACTCACTGAGTGTTACATATACACAGGATTCTGCTCACAGAACATTCTACACACAGAATATTCTACACAGAACATTCTACACAGAACATTCTACACACAGAATATTCTACACACAGAACATTCTACACAGAACATTCTACACGCAGAACATTCTACACAGAACTTTCTATACAGAACATTCTACACGCAGAACATTCTACACACAGAACATTCTACACACAGAACATTCTACACAGAACATTCTACACGCAGAACATTCTACACACAGAATATTATACACACAGAACATTCTACACACAGAACATTCTACACAGAACACTCTACACAGAACATTCTACACACAGAACATTCTACACACAGAACATTCTACACACAGAACATTCTACACACAGAACATTCTACACACAGAACATTCTATACACAGAACATTCTATACACAACATTCTACACACAGAACATTCTACACACAGAACATTCTACACACAGAACATTCTACACATAACATTCTATACAGAACATTCTACACGCAGAACATTCTACACGCAGAACATTCTACACACAGAACATTCTACACACAGAACATTCTACACGCAGAACATTCTACACGCAGAACATTCTACACACAGAACATTCTACACACAGAACATTCTACACACAGAACATTCTACACACAGAATATTCTACACACAGAACATTCTACACACAGAACATTCTACACACAGAACATTCTACACACAGAACGTTCTACACACAGAACATTCTACACACAGAACATTCTACACACAGAATATTCTACACACAGAACATTCTACACACAGAATATTCTACACACAGAACATTCTACACACAGAACATTCTACACACAGAATATTCTACACACAGAACATTCTACACACAGAATATTCTACACACAGAATATTCTACACACAGAACATTCTACACACAGAACATTCTACACACAGAACATTCTACACACAGAACATTCTACACACAGAACATTCTACACACAGAACATTCTACACACAGAATATTCTACACAGAACACTCTACACACAGAACATTCTACACACAGAACATTCTACACACAGAACATTTTACACACAGAACATTCTACACACAGAGCATTCTACACACAGAACATTCTACACACAGAGCATTCTACACACAGAACATTCTACACACAGAACATTCTACACACAGAACATTCTACACACAGAACATTCTACACACAGAACATTCTACACACAGAACATTCTACACACAGAACGTTCTACACACAGAACATTCCACACACAGAACATTCTACACACAGAACATTCTACACACAGAACATTCTACACACAACATTCTACACACAGAAAATTCTACACACAGAACATTCTACACACAGAACATTCTACACACAGAACATTCTACACACAGAACATTCTACACACAGAGCGTTCTACACACAGAACATTCTACACACAGAACATTCTACACACAGAACATTCTACACACAGAACGTTCTACACACAGGACATTCTACACGCAGAACATTCTATACACAGAACATTCTACACACAGAACATTCTACACACAGAACATTCTACACACAGAACATTCTACACACAGAACATTCTACACATAGAACATTCTACACTCAGAACATTCTACACACAGAACATTCTACACACAGAACATTCTACACACAGAACATTCTACACACAGAACATTCTACACACAGAACATTCTACACACAGAACATTCTACACACAGAACGTTCTACACACAGAACATTCTACACACAGAACATTCTACACACAGAACATTCTACACACAGAACATTCTACACACAGAACATTCTACACACAGAAAATTCTACACACAGAACATTCTACACACAGAACATTCTACACACAGAACATTCTACACACAACATTCTACACACAGAACGTTCTACACACAGAACATTCTACGCACAGAACATTCTACACACAGAACATTCTACACACAAAACGTTCTACACACAGAACATTCTACACACAGAACATTCTACACACAGAACATTCTACACACAGAACATTCTACACACAGAAAATTCTACACACAGAACATTCTACACACAGAACATTCTACACACAGAACATTCTACACATAGAACATTCTACACACAGAACGTTCTACACACAGAACATTCTACACACAGAACATTCTACACACAGAACATTCTACACACAGAACGTTCTACACACAGAACATTCTACACACAGAACATTCTACACACAGAACATTCTACACACAGAACATTCTACACACAGAACATTTTACACACAGAACATTCTACACACAGAACATTCTACACACAGAACATTCTACACACAGAACATTCTACACACAGAACGTTCTACACACAGAACATTCTACACACAGAACATTCTACACACAGAACATTCTACACACAGAACATTCTACACACAGAAAATTCTACACACAGAACATTCTACACACAGAACATTCTACACACAGAACATTCTACACATAGAACATTCTACACACAGAACGTTCTACACACAGAACATTCTACACACAGAACATTCTACACACAGAACATTCTACACACAGAACGTTCTACACACAGAACATTCTACACACACAACATTCTACACACAGAACATTCTACACACAGAACATTCTACACACAGAACATTCTACACACAGAACGTTCTACACACAGAACATTCTACACACAGAACATTCGGTGAGGATGGGGGCAGCTAGACGAATAGCAACACCAATCCGAATGGCCTGTGGGTCGAGTCGAGTGCCCAGGGAAGAATTGGGAAGAGCTAGAAGGAAATCTCTTGAGTGTGGTGCCTTCACTACCAGGAGACGAGCTTTGTCCTTTCTGAAGCGTTGGTGAGCATTGTGTTGGCGATTTTTTCCATGATCGGTTTGTCCCAGTGGGACTGTTTGTGCTCTTTGGGAGGAGCTGGTCTACTGGAGGAGTCTGTAAGGGTGTCCCACCGCATCGCTGCTTCAGTAAACCTGGGGTCTTTAGCTACTACCATGTATATGTGTGTGTGTGTAGGTGTGTGTGTGTGTGTGTGTGTGTGTGTGTGTGTGTGTGTGTGTGTGTGTGTGTGTTGTGCCAAATAGATAAAACTTGAGATTTTGCCTTAAAGAGCAACGCTCTTCTTGATCAGTAAGGCAAAAAATTGTGTATGCAGTAATTTCGCAAAAATCATTCTGAACCTAACGAAAAAAAATATATTTCATTGTAATTGTTTATTGTTAAAGTATTATAAACTTATCTAAAATATATTTAGATGAATTACTCTAAATTAAATTGCGCCGGTTATAATAAAGTTACGTAAATTTTCTACGGTACTTTTCGTACAAAATTATTAATTTTTACATTAAGATAAATAGAAAAATATAACTCAACTACCTAAAGTCATACCTTAGTAACATAAGCCATTATATGTACACAAATGAAGAATACTCTTCCACACAACCAATCACAGTCGTGTCTTACAAGGAAGTGTCATTGGACCACTCTTTTTTCTCATTTACATCAATGACCTACCGAATGTATCACAGCTACTAAAACCCACATTATTCACAGATGACACTACATACGTCTTCTCTCACTCAAACCCAGTCATACTGCCTAACAATGTAGATGCTGAATTGCAGAAAATAACTACCTGGATGATGACAAATAAACTTACCCTCAATACTGACAAAACCTATTTCGTTCAGTTTGAGAATAGAGCTGTAAATGTTCCACTTAACAAAACGCTAAACGGATCACCCATTACAAGACTCACAGACGGAAAATTCCTAGGAATCCAGCTTAAGAGTAGCCTCAAATTCCAGGCACACATACAACAAATTTCTAAGAAAATGACTAAGACAGTAGGCATACTATCAAAGATACGGTACTATGTTCCATAATCAGCTCTCCTGGCACTGTATCATTCACTCATCTACCCTTATCTCACATATGAAATTTGTGCATGGGCATCAACAACATTAAATTACATAAGACCACTAACAACCCAGCAAAATGCTACATTTACAATGATAACAAATTCCCACTCCCAACAGCATACTCCACCAATATTCAAAAGTCTAAAACTGCCCACCATTAAGAACATATATACTTATTCATGTGCCTACTACATACATGGAACAATACACTCAAACATAAACCCTCCACTCAAACTTCTCCTCAGCAATCTAGACGCCCAAAGTTCATACATTATTAATACTACATTGCAGTATAAATACCTACCCAAAACAATAATGCTTTACACCCAATTGTAGCATTCTCATACTGTAGCAAAATTACTGTCAACTATAAATAAAAAAAGACGTGCAACTTAAACCTTATTAAGCAGTCTGTAAGTCATTCAATTAAGTGTGCCTATAACGCCTGGCATGATAGTGCCTCTTGGCACTGCAACTCATTATTGTAATTTCATAATCTCAATGTAATCTTATAAAGAAATAATTTTTTTTTGTTTTGTTTTTGTTTGTATAAGAGAAAATTTACACACACACACACACACACACACACACACACACACACACACACACACACACACACAAGCGCCTGGCAAACCTGAGAACAGCATTCCGATACCTTAGTAAGGAATCATTCAAGACACTGTACACCGTGTATGTCAGGCCCATACTGGAGTATGCAGCACCTGTTTGGAACCCGCACTTGATAAAGCACGTCAAGAAACTAGAGAAAGTACAAAGGTTTGCAACAAGGTTAGTTCCAGAGCTAAGGGGAATGTCCTATGAAGAAAGATTAAGGGAAATCGGCCTGACGACACTGGAGGACAGGAGGGTCAGGGGAGACATGATAACGACATATAAAATACTGCGTGGAATAGACAAGGTGGACAAGGACAGGATGTTCCAGGGAGGGGACACAGAAACAAGAGGCCACAATTGGAAGTTGAAGACACAAATGAGTCAGAGAGATATTAGGAAGTATTTCTTCAGTCATAGAGTTGTAAGGCAGTGGAATAGCCTAGAAAATGACGTAGTGGAGGCAGGAACCATACACAGTTTTAAGACGAGGTTTGATAAAGCTCATGGAGCGGGGAGAGAGAGGGCCTAGTAGCAACCGGTGAAGAGGCGGGGCCAGGAGCTAGGACTCGACCCCTGCAACCACAAATAGGTGAGTACAAATAGGTGAGTACATATATATATATATATACATATTTATATATATATTTTATTTTTTATTATCACACCGGCCGATTCCCACCAAGGCAGGGTGGCCCGAAAAAGAAAAACTTTCACCATGATTCACTTCATCACTGTCTTGCCAGAAGGGTGCTTTACACTACAGTTTTTAAACTGCAACATTAACACCCCTCCTTCAGAGTGCAGGCACTGTACTTCCCATCTCCAGGACTCAAGTCCGGCCTGCCGGTTTCCCTGAATCCCTTCATAAATGTTACTTTGCTCACACTCCAACAGCACGTCAAGTATTAAAAACCATTTGTCTCCATTCACTCCTATCAAACACGCTCACGCATGCCCGCTGGAAGTCCAAGCCCCTCGCACACAAAACCTCCTTTAACCCCCTCCCTCCAACCCTTCCTACGCCGACCCTACCCCGCCTTCCTTCCACTACAGACTGATACACTCTTGAAGTCATTCTGTTTCGCTCCATTCTCTCTACATGTCCGAACCACCTCAACAACCCTTCCTCAGCCCTCTGAACAACAGTTTTGGTAATCCCGCACCTCCTCCTAACTTCCAAACTACGAATTCTCTGCATTATATTCACACCACACATTGCCCTCAGACATGACATCTCCACTGCCTCCAGCCTTCTCCTCGCTGCAACATTCATCACCCACGCTTCACACCCATATAAGAGCGTTGGTAAAACTATACTCTCATACATTCCCCTCTTTGCCTCCAAGGACAAAGTTCTTTGTCTCCACAGACTCCTAAGTGCACCACTCACTCTTTTTCCCTCATCAATTCTATGATTCACCTCATCTTTCATAGACCCATCCGCTGACACGTCCACTCCCAAATATCTGAATACGTTCACCTCCTCCATACTCTCTCCCTCCAATCTGATATTCAATCTTTCATCACCTAATCTTTTTGTTATCCTCATAACCTTACTCTTTCCTGTATTCACCTTTAATTTTCTTCTTTTGCACACCCTACCAAATTCATCCACCAATCTCTGCAACTTCTCTTCAGAATCTCCCAAGAGCACAGTGTCATCAGCAAAGAGCAGCTGTGACAACTCCCACTTTGTGTGTGAGTCTTTATCTTTTAACTCCACGCCTCTTGCCAAGACCCTCGCATTTACTTCTCTTACAACCCCATCTATAAATATATTAAACAACCACGGTGACATCACACATCCTTGTCTAAGGCCTACTTTTACTGGGAAAACATTTCCCTCTTTCCTACATACTCTAACTTGAGCCTCACTATCCTCGTAAAAACTCTTCACTGCTTTCAGTAACCTACCTCCTACACCATACACTTGCAACATCTGCCACATTGCCCCCCTATCCACCCTGTCATACGCCTTTTCCAAATCCATAAATGCCACAAAGACCTCTTTAGCCTTATCTAAATACTGTTCACTTATATGTTTCACTGTAAACACCTGGTCCACACACCCCCTACCTTTCCTAAAGCCTCCTTGTTCATCTGCTATCCTATTCTCCGTCTTACTCTTAATTCTTTCAATTATAACTCTACCATACACTTTACCAGGTACACTCAACAGACTTATCCCCCTATAATTTTTGCACTCTCTTTTATCCCCTTTGCCTTTATACAAAGGAACTATGCATGCTCTCTGCCAATCCCTAGGTACCTTACCCTCTTCCATACATTTATTAAATAATTGCACCAACCACTCCAAAACTATATCCCCACCTGCTTTTAACATTTCTATCTTTATCCCATCAATCCCGGCTGCCTTACCCCCTTTCATTTTACCTACTGCCTCATGAACTTCCCCCACACTCACAACTGGCTCTTCCTCACTCCTACAAGATGTTATTCCTCCTTGTCCTATACACGAAATCACAGCTTCCCTATCTTCATCAACATTTAACAATTCCTCAATATATATATATATATATATATATATATTATATATATATATATATATATATATATATATATATATATATATACAAACACTGATCTCTGGCTGAAGGAGACTCGAACCTACGAACCTTGAAGCAAGGTATGCAGTGCTATGCCAATCTGCCCACACTGGACAATACCTTGGCGTGCAGCTTGTGCTACACGTTTGATCCAAGGCAGCCAGCTTTCAGTGTGGAGGCTTACAGCTTTTCATCTCATCCCCTGCATGCATCAGCCTTACTAGAGATTTGAACAATGCAAGGAATTCGCGAGAGCATGCGAAATATACACAAACACTGATCTCTGGCTGAAGGAGACTCGAACCTACGAACCTTAGGACAAGGTACGCAGTGCTTTACCAATCTACCCACACTGGACAATACCTTGGCGTGTAGCATCCGCTACACGTTTGATCCAAGGCAGCCAGCTTTCAGGGAGAAGGCTTACAGCTTTTCATCTCATCCCCTGCATGCATCAGCCTTACTAGAGATTTGAACAATGCATGGAATTCGCGAGAGCATGCGAAATATACACAAACACTGATCTCTGGCTGAAGGAGACTCGAACCTACGAACCTTAGGACAAGGTACGCAGTGCTTTACCAATCTACCCACACTGGACAATACCTTGGCGTGTAGCATGCGCTACACGTTTGATCCAAGGCAGCCAGCTTTCAGGGAGAAGGCTTACAGCTTTTCATCTCATCCCCTGCATGCATCAGCCTTACTAGAGATTTTAACAATGCAAGGAATTCGCAAGAACAGGCGAAATATACACAAACACTGATCCAGTGTGGTGAGATTGGTATAGCACTGCGTACCTTGTTTCAAGGTTCGTAGGTTCGAGTCTCTTTCAGCCAGAGATCAGTGTTTGTGTATATTTCTTCTGCTCTTGCGAATTCCTTGCATTGTTAAAATCTCTAGTAAGGCTGATGCATGCAGGGGATGAGATGAAAAGCTGTAAGCCTTCTCCCGGAAAGCTGGCTGCCTTGGATCAAAGTCTAGCGCAAGCTGGACTCCAAGGTATTGGTCCAGTGTGGGTAGATTGGTAAAGCACTGCGTACCTTGTTCCAAGGTTCGTAGGTTCGAGTCTCCTTCAGCCAGAGATCAGTGTTTGTGTATATTTCGCCTGCTCTTGCGAATTCCTTGCATATATATATATATATATATATATATATATATATATATATATATATATATATATATGCAAGGAATTATTATTAATACATCGGCCGTCTCCCCCCAAGGCAGGGTGTAATAAAGTTGGTAGGGTGGCCCGAAAAAAAAGAAAAACTTTCATAATCATTCACTCCATCACTGTCTTGCCATTGGCGCGCTTACACTACGGTTGTAAAACTGCAACATTAACACCCCTCCTTCAGGGCGCAGTCACCGTACTTCCAATCTCTTGGACTCAAGTCCAGCCTGGTGGTTTCCCTGAATCCTTTCATAAATATTACCCTGCTCACACTCCAACAGCACGACAAGGCTAAATACCATTTGTGTCTATTCGCTCCTATCAAACATGCTCACGCATGCTTGCTGGAAGCCCAATCCCCTTGCACACAAACCTCCTTTACCCTCTCCAACCTTTCCTAGACCGACTCGTACCACGTTTTCCCTCCACTACAGATATATACACTCTCGAAGTCATTCTATTTCGTTCCATCCTCTCTGCACCTCCTCCTAATTTCCGAACTACAGATTCTCTGCATTATATTCACACCACACATTGCTCTCAGACATGACATCTAGACTGCTGCCAGCCTTCTTCTTGTTGCAACATTCACAACCCATGTAAGAGCGCTGGTTTAACTATACTCTCATACATTCCCCTCTTTGCTTCCAAGGATAATGTTCTTTGTCTACACAGACTCCTCAGTGCACCACTCACCTTTTTCCACTTCTCAATTCTATGAATCACCTCATCCTTCATAGACCCATCTGCTGACACGTCCACTCTCAAATATCTGAATACACTCACTTTCTCCATACTCTCTCCCTCCAATCTGATATCCAATTATTCGTTATCTAAATTTTTATCCTCGTCACCCTACTCTTTCCTATATTCGCTTTTAATTTACATACCCTACCAAACTCATCCACCAACCTATGCAACTTCACTTCAGAATTTCCCAAAAGCACAGTGTCAGCAGCAAAGAGCAACTGTGACAATTCCCACTTTGTGTTAGATTATTTATCTTTTAACCCCACATTTCTTGCCAACACACGATCATTCACTTTTCTTAGAACCCCGTCTCTAAATACATTGTTGGTAATTCTTCCAACATTATTACAAAACATTTTACTCACAGAGCGTTCTGTGCACATGCAATTCACAGAACATTCTAACAGATTATTCTATTCATTGAATATTTCACTCACAGAGTGAACATTTTTCACTCGAACACTGAATATTTCTACACAAAGAATCTTGTGGACATTGAACAATGCACAAAGAACATTCTTCTTGCGGACCATTCTACACAGAGAATATCATATTCACAGAGCATACTACTGTATATACAGGAATCTTATACTCACACAACATTCTACACACTGAACATTATATACACACAGAATATTTTACACAATGGACATTGTACTTACAGAACACACGTTATTTTCCCTGTACCGGAAAATATTTTCTTCCGCTTCGTGTAGAAGGGACTGTTCCATGTCGTCTGTTGTTTTCACCTGGAAATAAAGGTATTTTGAAAACATTAAATACCGACGAGTTAATGATTAAGACACTTGTACAACAGTTGGGTAGCTTTATTGTTGAAACGTTTCGCGTACATAGCAGGTTTCTTCAGTCACCTGTTGCCTCTGTATTTAGCTGAGGAAGCCTACTAAGTAGACGAAACGTTTCAACAGTATAGACACCCGGCTGTTGCACACGTGTCTTGATAATAAAGGTACTCATTAGAATGTGAGATGAATTAAAGGTAATCTATTGAATCTCTTTTAGAGTACTAACAGTCGCTTGGTTCCGGAAGCCAGCATGAAGCTAGAGTTCAATGATGACTGCCTGGTTCACTTAGGCTCTTGCTGCAAGCAGGCTGCACCTGCATTGCACAACCATAATTAGGGTTAAGTTCCCAAAGTTGGTTCCCACAGGCAGTCACCAGCAGAAATGTAATCAGCCACAAGTAGTTAATTATGCACGAGTAGTCATCAGCAGGTAGTCTCCCATAGTAAGTTAGTCACATACTGGTCACCCACAGATAGCTGATCACAGTAGTTGTTACTACATGGTGGGTAATGCTAGTTATTTAACTTCACAGTCATTCACTTGTAGCTACTTACCTCACAGGTGGTCACCTCACAGGTGGTCACCTCACAGGTGGTCACCTCACAGGTGGTCACCTTACAGGTGGTCACCTCACAGGTGGTCACCTCACAGGTGGTCACCTCACAGGTGGTCACCTCACAGGTGGTTACGTCTCAGGTGGTTACCTCACAGGTTGCTAATTCACGGGTGGAAACCTCACAGGTGGTTAACTCACAGGTGGTTACCTCACAAACGTTTAGTTACCTCACAGTTGGTTAGTATTTCACCCCTGAATGGGGCCCAATGTATATAATGTATATTTATGTGTATATTTTTTCTCTTTCATATAATTTTATATTTCCGATATTTTCACTTAATAGCTAAAATGAAAATATCTTCCTTTACATTATTATCTGACTTATTAAATTATCTATGTATGTAGATAGGAAGTAACTTTTACACTTCACTGTGCTCACTGTCTGAGAGCTGTGGTTGGCTGTCTGCATTGGCAAACTGTTTAGTTAACTATCAGCTCGCTTGGTTACCTGCCGGCGTCTCTGTAGTGCCACGGGAGAGTCACGTGATCTCACCTGATGTGACGCCTGTAGTCGAGAAATCGTTCTCTCTCCACTTCTGGTCACAATCATGACAAATTACAAAGGTAATGAGCTTTAGGTAGATCTAGTCACAATCATGACAAGTTAAGATTTTCGTTCGGATTTTTAACCCCGGAGGGTTAGCCACCCAGGATAACCCAAGAAAGTCAGTGCGTCATCGAGGACTGTCTAACTTATTTCCATTGGGGTCCTTAATCTTGTCCCCCAGGATGCGACCCACACCAGTCGACTAACACCCAGGTACCTATTTGCTGCTAGGTGAACAGGACAATAGGTGTAAGGAAACGTGTCGGAATTTCCACCGGCCGGGAATCGAACCCGGGCCCTCCGTGTGTGAAGCGGGAGCTTTAGCCACCAGACCACCGGGCCAAAGGTATTTACAGATTACAGAGGTACATAATGGGTCCAGCGACTGGGCCCCAAAGTTTTGATAGCTGAACAAGGTACAAAGGTAATGATGTCACAAAATACAAAGGTAATGAATCATGTAAGTAAATTTACTTAATTACTTATGTTTATACATGGTTACAACCATGACCTAATTATAAAGTAATGAGCAATTCACACATCCACACCCGGTGACAGGTTGTGTTATAATGGCACTCTAAGTCAACACAGGTCCCAAGATAAAGCTTCTGACCTATTTTGTGTGGCATCTACTCACCGTCGTAGTCGGGGATACCTGGAGGTTACCTGGAGGTTATTCCGGGGATCAACGCCCCCGCGGCCCGGTCCATGACCAGGCCTCCCGATGGATCAGGGCCTGATCAACTAGGCTGTTACTGCTGGCCGCACGCAGTCCAACGTACGAGCCACAGCCCGGCTGATCCGGCACTTACTTTAGGTATCTGTCCATCTCTCTCTTGAAGGCAGCCAGGGGTTTATTGGCAATTCCCCTAATGGTTGATGGGAGGCTGTTGAACAGTCTTAGGCCCCGGACACTTATGGTGTTTTCCCTTAGTGTACCAATGGCGCCCCTACTTTTTATTAGGGGCATTTTGCATCGCCTGCCCAGTCTTTTACTTTCGTAGGGAGTGATTTCTATGTGCAGATTTGGGAGCATTCCTTCCAAGATTTTCCAAGTGTAGATTATGATATATCTCTCCCTCCTGCGTTCCAACGAGTACAAGTCAAGTGCTTCCAAGCGTTCCCAGTAGTTAAGGTGCTTGACAGAACTTATACGTGCAGTAAAGGATCTCTGTACACTCTCTAGATCTGCGATTTCACGTGCTTTGAATGGAGCTGTTAATGTACAGCAGTATTTCAGCCTAGAGAGAACAAGTGATTTGAAAAGGATCATCATTGGCTTGGCATCTCTCGTTTTGAACGTTCTCATTATCCATCCTATCATTTTCTTTGCACGTGCGATCATGGCACTGTTGTGATCCTTGAAAGTGAGATCTTCAGACATTGCTACTCCCAGGTCCCTTACATTATTTTTCCGCTCTATTATATGGCCAGAGTCTGTAGTATGCTCTGTTCTAGTTATTATCTCCTCCAGTTTTCCATAACGGAGTAGTTGGAATTTCTCCTCATTGAACATCATATTGTTTACTGTTGCCCACTGGAAAACTTTGTTTATATCTTCTTGGAGGTTAACCGCATCCTCAGCAGATGACAGCCTCATGCAGATCCTAGTATCATCCGCAAAATATGATACGGTGCTGTGATGTATATCTCTGTCTATGTCTGATATGAGGATAAGGAATAAGATGGGGGCGAGTACTGTGCCTTGTGGAACGGAGCTCTTCACTATGGCAGCCTCCGATTTAACTCTGTTGACCACTACTCTTTGTGTTAGGAAGTTGAAGATCCATCTCCCCACATTCCCAGTTATTCCTTTAGCACGTATTTTATGGGCTATTACGCTATGATCGCATTTGTCAAATGCTTTTGCAAAGTCTGTGTATATTACATCTGCATTCTGATTTTCTTCCAGTGCATCCAAGGCCATATCATAGTGATCCAGTAGTTGTGAGAGGCAGGAGCGACCTGCCCTGAACCCATGTTGCCCTGGATTGTGCAGATTTTGGGAATCCAGGTGATTTGCAATCCTGCTTCTTAGCACTCTTTCAAAGATTTTTATGATGTGGGACGTCAGAGCTATTGGTCTATAGTTCTTAGCTAATGCTTTGCTGCCGCCTTTTATGGAGTGGGGCTATATCCGTTGTTTTAAGTGACTGTGGAATTTCACCCATGTCCAAGCTCCTCCTCCATAGTGTACTTAGGGCACACGAGAGGGGTTTCTTGCAGTTCTTAATGAAAACAGAGTTCCACGAGTCTGGGCCCGGGGCTGAGTGCATGGGCATGTTGTCAATGGCTTTTTCGAAATCTATCGGAGTTAGGGTAATGTCGGAAATGTGGCATACATTTATGGAGTTTTGAGGCTCATTCATGAAGAAATCATTTGGGTCGTCGATCCACAGACCGATTAGTGATTCACTAAACACAGAGTCGTACTGGGATTTCAATATTTCACTCATTTCCTTGTTGTCATCTGTGTAAGTCCCATCCTGTCTGAGTAAGGGCCCGATACTAGATGTGGCATTTGCCTTGTTTTTGGCATATGAAAAGAAATACTTTGAATTTCTTTCAATTTCACTAATAGCTTTAAGCTCCTCCTGTCTCTCCTGGTTCCTGTAAGAGTCATTTAAGTTCGATAGTTTCCACTTCCCCATCAGCGCCTCCTTTCGTGTATCAGATATTCTAGCACTCCTGAGGAGCTCAGTGACTCTTCGTCGTCTTCTGTAGAGGGAGCGTCTTTCTCTCTCCAGTTTACTCCTCTTCTTCTTTCTTAGGGGAATATGCCTAGAACATGCTTCAGCTGCCAGGAAGTTGATTCTTTCAAGGCACTGGTTTGGATCCATGTCATTTAAGACATCTTCCGAACATGTTTCGTTTAGGACATGGTTTACCTGGTCCCAGTTGATGTTCTTGTTGTTGAAGTTGTATTTTGTGAAGACACCTTCACAGGTACATGCATTCTGCTGATCAGGACCCCTATGCATGTACGTCTGGACTTCGATTAAGTAGTGATCGGAATTAGTTGTTTTTGATATTCTTATGTCTCTTATCAGGTCCTCATTATTTGTGAAGATAAGGTCAAGTGTGTTTTCTAGTCTTGTTGGCTCCACTATCTGCTGGCTTAAGGTATGTTTTTCGCAGAGACTTAGTAGCTCATGTGTGTGTGACCTTTCATCTGCGCTACCTCCGGGGACTGTTTCAGCAATAATATTATTTGCTACATTCTTCCATTTTGTATGCCTTAGGTTGAAATCATCAAGCAGTAAGATGTTTGGGGATGGAGCTGGAAGGTTTTCCAGACAGTAATCAATTTTCAGTAGCTGTTCCTTGAACTGTTGTGAGGTTGCATCTGGTGGCTTATATACAACCACAATGACTAGGTTTTGGTTCTCGATCTTTATTGATAGAACTTCAACTACCTCATTAGTGGTGTTCAGCAACTCCGTACAGATGAGGGACTCTTTGACATACAGGCCAACCCCCCTCCCCTTGTTGCCTGCTCATTCTGTCGCATCTAAAAAGGTTGTAACCACTTATCCATATTTCACTGTCAAAGTAATCTTTTGTGTGAGTCTGTGAAGGCTGCAAACATTGCATTAGACTCCTCTAGAAGTCCACTGATAAAAGGTATTTTGTTGTTGGTGAATGGCTTAACGCCCTGTATATTAGCAAATTTGAACGAGGTTGTATTCTGTGTTTGTTGGGGGGGATTTTGTTATTGGCATCAGTAGCTGTAATTCTGGAGAGCCATGGGTGGCCACTGGCTGTGCCTCCAGTCCAAC